CCATGTTGAGATCACTGAGAACATAGTCATTTATTGATTGCTTTGTCTTTGGGTAATACATTACCCCAATATCCCTCAATTCCATGTCTTCATATCATATCCCTTCACTACACTCTTCTTGCATGATCTTGAGCCCTGCATTACCCATCACTCAAAGATCTCCTTCTCTGTTGTTAAAGATGAGGCCTATATCCTCACATTTTCTCTTGCCTCTCCCCAAATCTCCCAGCACTCATGATCCAGGGTTCCACAACATTCATCTGTTTGTAATGTTCACTTGGATCTGTTAAAGGGTGACAATTATGCCTCCAAAGCCTTTTGTGCTACTTTATTTCTCCATCTATTTCATCACCGGATACTTAGGTCTGTTACAGATTGCAAGACTGGCTGATGTAAGACACCGTCCTTTCTCTACTCCTCATTCCCATGTTTCCAATCTTGGAGTCAACTAAGTTCACCACACCATTGGCCCTCTTTGAATCCACCGGAGCAAATACAAGAATGATCACTGTATCTTGAGACAAACAATAACGCCTGGGTTTCTTCAGTAGGGATAAAATAGACCATCAGTCTCTAGGAGGTATGTTCAGTTTCTCATGCAACAGGTCCATATGAAACTTCTTCCACCAGTTCTTATGCTGACTAAGGTGCTAGCAAAGATGCACGAGAATCCAACTACATCCTTTTCATCCCATGGAGGCTTCAATAGCCATGGTTTATTTCATTTTGTGACTTGTGTACAATCTATTCCTCAAATGACCTGAACTTCTGACTATCCATAGGGAATAGTGCATAACTTAGATCTTTATTCTGACTGCCTCACATCTTGAAGGAGTCAGTTCTAACTTCCATTAGAGCTACTGTAGATGGCGTTCTTCCAATTTCTCAGAAATGGTTGTCCATACCATTTATGCAACTCAAGGAATATTCTTTGCAGGGGAGGCAAACAAGGAACATATCCACCCCCTTCAGTGTGCAATTCATCATAGTTTGGCATTCCATTTACATTTGAAGATGACCTGATATTTTCCTCCATAAAAGTTTTTTCTTGCAGCCATTTTTTCTTTTTTAGCCTCGATTGGAAAATGTTTTTTCTCTAAATGTTTTTAAATGTTTCATGAAGGTTTGACCTGTCTTTACCTGCTAGTATCCTCACTAATCCCTGCCTGGAGTCCTTGATGGATTTCTTTAATGTTGATGTCAAATCCTTTTGAACTAATGGCTTCTACCCACATTCATGTTCTCTCACAGAAGATGTTATTAATGGTCCTTCTGACTGGACTACTCATCTTTCCACATTTTCTGAAAAATGATAAAATAATCCATCTCCTCGATATCATCTTCCTCCTGAAGTCTGTCTGTGTGATGGCATTACTATATTTTTACTCAGCCCGTCAACATTATGAGATTTCTGCTTTGCTTCAAGATACTCGCTTTCCATTTACATTGAACAAGCATTATTTCAAAGAGACCAGCATATGTTTTTGGCTTTGCAAGGTCCATTCAACGATTCTCAGCATTTTTTTGGTAAATAGATAGTTGCAACTTTAAAGCTTTCTTATGATCTTGCCGAGTAAGAGTGCCTTCTTGAAATTCAGGATCACTTTATAAGAGCTGCTTTTCTGCTGTACATGGAATTCCTTCGCCCAGATGATGCTGGACAACTGCTTGAGGCCCACTTTCCACTTTTATTCATCATTATCAACTGGGCCTCCATTCTCAGAGGGAAGCAAGCCTTTAGAGTAGCAATCCTTTTGTTGCTTACGGTCCCAGTCCCTCCTTTGTGTAATAAGCTTAGCTCCTCGCCCATTGTAAGAAATACAGAGACAAAGTGAAGAACTGTGGGGTTCTCAGTGCTCACTGAGCTTGATGGTAGTTTTTTTTTTTACGAGTTCTTACCTAGTTTCATTACCAAACTAGGTAACATCATCAATGTACTGATGATGTTACTTAGTTTGGTAATGACATGTCTGAATAAAAACCACCAAGCTCAGAAAGCACCAACGACCCCACAGTTCAACCCTGAGCTACAAATATTTTCTTCTATTGGTACAATGAAGAAAGGGTTACTTGTCTGAAACTGAAACTCTTAGGAGTTGCAATCTATGTCTTCATACATCCTTCCCTGCTTGGTGCTGGCGACTTCAGGATTTCACACAGGATTTGCTATGTTGGTATCAGGTAGAATTAAGGGGATTTAGCATGAAACACAGCTAGCTACTCATTGTATGTATGTATGGAGGACAAGATTCCAAGCAAAGCATGCCATACACCAGTGGTGGCGAACCTATGGCACGGGTGCCACAGGTGGCACTCAGACCCCTCTCTGTGGGCACGCGCGCCATCGCCCCAATCCTAGGCCTTCAGCTGGATTTTATAAAACCTTTTTGCTTTAGGCCTCTGCTACCATGTGCAAAAAAAAAAAAAGGTTCAATCAATCAGTCAATTTCAACTTCTCGTGGGAAAAAAAAAGATCTTGCAAAGTTGGAATTGATTGATTGAACTTTTTAGTCCCACCCAGTCTGCTGTTACTGCCGCAGCCACGCCCACCCAGTGGGCCACACCCAGCCAATGGGCCACACCCACCGGGCACCCGACGATGCATAAGTGGGTTTTGGGTTGCAGTTTGGGCACTCGGTCTCTAAAAGATTCGCCATCACTGCCATACACTGTAGCAGATTCTCAATGGGCTTTGTACAAGTGGAAAGCCCTTTGGTGAATTCACCAAAGACTACTCAACTTCATTGTAGGTAAGTAATTGGTTTGTGTGGTTGGCTGTTAAAGTAGAATGAAATGTAATGAGCATTGATGGTCTGTTTCTGAAAGTACCTCCACCTAAAGGCTGGAGTATTGAATTGATAGGAAGTTAAGAAATAGAAGCGACTCTACATCATAGTTTATCTTTTCATTTGGAAGCTCAGGCCAGTAATTAGTATAAATCATGGTGTCAGAAAGAAACCTCTACTAGAGCCAGATGTAATTAGAGTCCAGGAGGAAAAGAATGATTTGGGTTGACAATATTAATCCGTTCATTCTCTCTAAAATAAACTGCTTGTCACTGCTGTTTTCCATTTTGCCCAAGCCAACAAAAGATAGTCTTTAGGGATAAAGGCAAACTGTTCCTGTATTTAAGCAGCTGCCTAGGACAATCAATGCCTTACCTTTGATTCAAGTTGCAAAATAAGCTTTGCTCACGTTGGAGTAAATGTGGCAGAGATGGTTCAAGATATATTTGTTTGTTGTTGCTTAGTTTGATTTATATGGATGTCCAGCTTACAAAAGCAACTCTGAGCAGCTTATATTTGGAGAGAAACCTGAAAAACAAAGGAACTAAAAACAAAGCACAACCAATGCCTGGATCTGAAAAGAGAATAACAAAATAAAAGCTAGCAGAATAATTGAGATCAGCCATAGCTTTCAATCTGGATGGGGTCATCTCACAGTCTGGCCCAATTTCCAGGGGAAGAGCCATATTTTCAGGGCTTTATGGTGGGCTGGTAGGATCAGACCATTTGAACTGCGGAAAAAATATTCCGAAAGCAAGTGCTATGACAGAGAAAGCATCACCAGGTCCCACCCAGATATCTTTGTTTCTACCAAATCTCATAGAGTAAACAGAGACAATTGGAGATGAGCAATCCTACAAATAATCTGGCCTTAGGTCATGAAGGGCTTTTATAGATGGTAACCAGCAACTTAAATTACATCCATGAGCCAACACAGTTCGCAAACTTTTGTTTTTGTTCAGTTACTAAGTCATGTCCAATTCTTCGCAACCCCGTGCACCATAGCACACCAGGCCATCATGTCCTCCACTGTCTCCTGGAGTGTGCCCAAATTCATGTTCATTGTGTAAATGACACTATCTAGCCATCTCCTCCACTTCTCCTTTTGCCTTCTCAACCTTTTCCAACTTCAGGGTCTATTCCAATAAGTCCTCTCCTCTCATTAGATGGCCAAAGTATTTGAGCTTCGGCTTCAGTTTCTGTCCTTCCAAAAAACAGTCAGGGTTGGTTTCCTTTAGAATTGACTGATTTGATATCCTTACAGTCCAAGGGACTCTCAAGAGTCTTCTTCAACACCACAATCTGAAAGCATCAGTTCTTGGGTGCTCAGCCTTCCTTAAAACCATATACTACTACTAGGAAAACTATGGCTCTCAAAAGAGTGGTGTTATATGAGTGCACTGAGTTGTGTCCAACAACTACTTGTGTTGCTGGATTCTAGGCCAATGACAGCTTTTGAGTATCTTTCAAAGGTAGCCCAGTGTATAGCACATTGCAGTAGGAGGTAACCAGAGCACAAATTATTGTGAACAGAGCCTACCAATCTAAGAAAGGACACAGCTGGTACACATGTGTGCAGAGGCCTTCATGGACATGGCTGCCACCTGCTTCTCCAGATGTTTTACTTTTGATAACTCAGCCCCAGCATATCAAGGTTACCAAAGGTCTTAGCAATAGCTATCCCTTGTAGAAGTCAGTTGATACCCCATTTTTATAACTAGATAAAGATAGATAGGTAGGTAGGTAGGTAAGTAGGTAGATAGATAGATAGATAGATAGATAGATAGATAGATAGATAGATAGATAGATAGATAGATAGATAGATAGATAGATAAAAGGGGAAAGGATAGACAGATAGATTGATGATGATGGCTTGGAATACCAGGCAATTTTAAGTTTTATATGTGTCTATTATTGGTCTGGAATAATTGTGCTCTTCCTTACTGGAAGTTAGGTGCAAAAAGTAAAAACAAAAGTTTCTTTGGAAATCAATAACATATATCTTTGTGCCTTTTAAATTCATGACCCACACCTCCCCAAAACCATGTGAAAAAAGTTCTTAATAAGTACTCTTAGATTGTTAGGAATATTGGGTTTCCCTTTTTTTTATTGTCTTAAACATCATCGTGTAATTTGGAACTTTACCTTGTTGGTTCTAAATGCTATATTTTTAATCACTTCTCCTTTCTTTTTTCTTTTTTCTTTTTTGTTTAGCAAAATAAGCTTCCTCAGAACTGCTATCCTTTACTTGTATTTGTGAATGCCAAAAGTGGAAGTCTTAAAGGTCGGGATTTGTTGCACAGTTTTCGAAAACTGTTGAACCCTCATCAGATCTTTGAACTAACAAATGGAGGTCCGCTGCCTGGGTAACATATTGTTTCTATTCAATACATCTTGGCTATTTCACATGTTACTTGTTTTGAGCGATATTTTTTCCCCCTTGATCTTGGTTTCCTTCGCTCTTGGTCTTGCAAAGCTGCCGAAGCCCTGAACAATGGCCAAATGGAAATTGCTCAGTGAGTGACATTTTTAGTCTGCCCGCCACCCCCTTGGAGAAGGAATTGGAAGATAACATTTCCTCATCTTAACTCCTTTTGTTTCTTAACCTTTTGTGTTTAACATTTGGCACTTATGCATAATGGCTCAGGAGTTTGAAAATCTGTAACCTTGGTTAATTAGGTGATCTTGTATCGTTTCAATATGGATGAGAAGATGGTGTTGCCAAGGAACTTCTTAAGATTTTGCAGCTGCTGTGTTGGGATTTCCTAATTCTCTCTTTGACCAGAAGATTCTGACGCCTTATCGTCTGTTTATTTTGGAAGGTTACTTGAATTTGGAGTGCAAAGCTGCTGTTTGGGAAAATGCAGATCCGAAGCTTTGGGCTAACGATCCACAAAGGCTTTGGAAGCCAGCCACCTCTTTCAAAAGCTTTTAGTGCTGTAATTAGGAAGCATCGCAGTGTGAATAGCAATGTGGCTGAGCTCGGACAATATTCATGCCAAAAGGTTCAATAAAAGAAGGAAGAGATGTTTAACCCTCCTGTCAAATAATAAATTTTTGCACTCTTTTCAGTAGGCTTTAAAGTCACTTATTAAAACTGTTGGGGTGGGTTGAATAAATGCCAATTTCTATTTTTGCATTGGGATTTGGCAGCGGCTATTCCAAAGAAAAGAAGGTAATTTGTCAAAGAGACGGGGATGTAAAGAATGAAAAAGAGAGAAAGCTGAAAACTCTAGGCCAGGGGTAGGCAACCTTGGCTCTTTTATGACTCGTGGACTTCAACTCCCAGAATTCCTCAGCCAGCACAGCACAGCTGGCTGAGGAATTCTGGGAGTTGAAGTCCACGAGTCATAAAAGAGCCAAGGTTGCCTACCCCTGCTCTAGGCACTTACCCTTTATTGGAAAATAGACTGAACATTCATGACATGACTTTTTTCCTACTTACATACTTAAATTTTGATAAAGCATTAACTCTTGAAAATGAAGCATTGCATGTTTTTTTTCCTACTTGAGCTGTATGAAATACACGCACATGTTCTACAAGCTTTTTTTTTTAATAAGTAGAAACACAGAATTAATTTTAGAGTGGTTTGAGTACTTTTTCCCCCCAATTTTGTATTACCTATTGGCGATGAGGGTTTTTTTTCCTACTAGCCAGCAAACTATTTTGCTTTGTTTCTTGTTATCACATGCAAATCTGTCATCGTTTCATTTTGAATGCATATGACATAGCTGGAAAGTGATACTATAAAAAGTTAGTGGGCACAGTTCTGTTTTGCTCAACGTTTAACAGATTTGTAGAAGAAAGCTAAATAGAATTTCGGATGACAGAGCATTGTATGAAAATTAAAGGGTTATATTCCATTTATCTTCAGCAAGAGAATAACATTAATTTTCTGTCTTTACCATGATCAAATGCTTTCATTGTTCAAGCAATGCACTTGAGTTTCAAAGGCCAAATGAGCTTATCTGTGTTACCCAGGAGTGAGTTTCTGAGTAGTCTAGCCCCATTGTTTTAGGCTGGCAAGATATTTAAATCAAATAACCATTCTTGAACTCTGAAGAACACTTTAGCATGTTTTAATGCTCCCCTAATAGCTGTTTTTGAGGGCAAATGTAATCTGAAAAATCTAAGATTGAGAAGGACTTTTTGGCCTTATACAGTAGCTCATGCCCTACATTGGGTTGCTAAGGATACAAAGGCCCATTCTATCATTTCATATTTATTTATTTTTTAATTAAATTTAAATATGACCCATCTCGCCTAGGTGGCTTACAACTAAGTGAAACAACGAAATAAAACATTAAATATTAAAACAATAAATATTAATGTTAAAATGTACTTAAAATTAACAAAGATGATAGGAAGGGAGCAGGATGCATGTGGGATGAAGGTGAAGTCTTATTTGAAAAAGAAGGTTATGTCAGTCCATTTTCTTTGTTTATTTTTTCTGATTTTGGTTCTATTATGTTAGAATATGAAAAACTATGTTTAACACAATCAGATCTTCTAGAATAAAGAGATAGTACTTCATCATTCTGTGAGTTATCTTCATACTGTTGTCAGTATCTCAAAAGCACTCAGACCAGATCCAGAAATTTACTTTTGTGCGTTTCCCAGGAGTCTGACCCCAATGAGAGATGTCTCAATTCTTTCTGTTGACCTTCAAATTGCTTTTGGAGCTGGAAGGGTTGTTGCTGGATTAAATGAAGTCCAACCTCTCCTTGCCCATATAAAATTTATCTGGTTCTTGGGATACCGACTTCGGTCTATTTTTTTAAAAAGAAGATAACGTGAGCCTATTTCTGTTTTTAGTTGGCTGGATAGGTTTAAAGAAAACTGTATACATGCTTCAATTCACAGTTGTGCTTATCAATAATATTGTCCTTATTGTTTTTTTATACATTGAAGATTTCACGCCTTCTCTCAAATTCCGTATTTCCGAATATTGGTGTGCGGTGGTGACGGCACAGTTGGATGGGTCCTTGGTGCCCTGGAAGAAATCAGGCACAAGCTCTCCTGGCCTGAACCATCTGTGGCTATTTTGCCTTTAGGAACAGGTGAGGCTTAAACTGCGGATTTTAGGAAGAAGAAGGGCAGTGGATGAGGTTTCCCATAAGCTCATAGATTCTATCGTTCCGTAAATTAAATTAGCATTGGTTAACTGTTACAGCAAACTGATGCCATTAGGCTATTTCCAATGGCAAATTCAGCAGACATCTCATTTTAACTTTGTAAGTGATAATTAAAAATGTATTTGAATCAAAGGCCTTGTAGATGTGGCAGAACCACAACTCCTGGTAGGCCAAACTATTGGTCAGAGGTAGTAGGCCAGGGGTGTCAAACTGCCGGCCTGTGGACCGGATGCATCATGCGGAGGCCCGCCCACCTCAGCTCCGGCAATGCGAAAAAAGTTGCGATACGTCGCGACACATCACGTGAAGTGGCGAGTGACACCTGTGTAATAGGCCTACTGAAATTCAGGTTAATGTAAAGTAAAGGCTTTTTATTTTATTTTTTCTTTAGTAGATTTTTTTTTAACGAAAACATGCCCTTTTTGATCAGGTAATGACTTGGGGAGGGTCCTGCGCTGGGGTGCTGGCTATAGTGGCGAAGATCCGTACTCCATCCTGATATCTGTAGATGAAGCTGACGATGTGCTTATGGACCGTTGGACCATCCTTTTGGATGCTCAAGAGTCATTGGAAAGCTCAGAAAATGGTATATTGGAGCCAGAACCTCCTAAGGTATTTCTCAATTTTTCCTTCCTGAAAGTACAGCAATAACAACATAAGTAAAAAAAAACCAAAAAACAAAGTGCTGAACATCCAAAACTTGTTCTTATATAGAATGATCTAATAATTCAAAATGAATTGTTGTATTGTAGTGTTTTTCTCAGATGCCTGCTATTTATTAAGTTGATTTGGGGACTATAATTTATAGTCTTCTCTCCGTTTTCCCTTCAGTTTCTCTTCTACTTATCTCTTTTTTTCACCATAATTAGTCACTTTCTCACTCCCTATTCCTCTTTTCTGATGAATAAGCAGTTCATGATGAAACTTCCTAACGCAATGTTGACAGACATTATGCACAGAGGATAAGTCTATGTTAAATGTATATATAATTAATATTCTGATTACTTGTGAGCAATGTGATTTTATTTTGAAAGGCATATAAATTGCTATGGTGCTTTGTTACCTATTTTCCCTAATTAGAGGACTGCAAAGCTATAAAATATGGTAATTAGAATACATGCTTGATAAAGTAATTACCAAATTGCTTGGGTTTCCTTAAAATCCTTGTAAAATGGATCAGAGTTTACTTCTTGTTCCTTTTTATAAACCAATAAAGCAACAGCTGAGCATACTGTTCCGTTCTAGGATAAGCACAGTAAACTTTACATCATCTGCATAATGTAAAATTAAATCACCAGCTTTCTTATGTAGCCTCTTGAAACTCATTGTGTGAAGAATGTGAGTAATGGGCAATATGTCATAGCTCTTCAAATAATTTTCTAAGGAAGATTATTTGTTTATATATCAAATTTGGAGACCGTCCATCTCACAGCAGACTCTGAGCGGTATACAATTAAACTATAAAAATATAAAATATATAAATAATATATTCCGGTAGGCAGTTAAAACAAGAATAAAATTAGCCGAGTTAAAAAGGCAGAGGGAGGGCTTTCATTTGAGTCTCAAGTGAGTCAGCAGAGTCAGGTCTGAAAGGCCAGGAGAGTGGAGGGCCCGCCTCATCTCTGGGGGAGAATGTTCTAAAGCAGGGGTAGTCAACCTTGGCTCTTTTATGACTCGTGGACTTCAATTCCCAGAATTCCTGGCTCAGGAATTCTGGGAATTGAAGTCCACGAGTCATAAAAGAGCCAAGGTTGACTACCCCTGTTCTAAAGTCTGGTTGACAGAGAAAGTTCTCTTATGTTAACCTGGTTTTCCCAGAAATCTCTCAGAGGAGGCTCCCTTCCTGGACTCCAGGGAGATTATGTTAATCTGGTTTCCCAAGAAATCACTCAGCGAAGGCTCTCTTCCTGGATTCCAGAAAGATTATGTTAACCTGATTTTTCCAAAATCACTCCGAAGAATCATGGCGATAAGCAGGGGTCCAATTCTTCCTTCGTCAAATCCAATGATTTGACTACCTTTTTATTTTGTAGCAAAACCTGCGGGGATATGACAGACTGAAAACAAAACATATGTTTGGCAGTGTAGAAAAAGAAGAAGACAACAGATAAACTGGATGCTGAGAATTGAGAATATTACCGGATTATCCTTGGAATGCTATGACTTCTTACGAAAAACAGCTCAAGACTCAAGATAGATATTTGTCCTGTTGAAGAGACCAGAAGTTGAACCTAACTAGATAGGATCTGCTTCATACTGTTGTTCTTTTTAAGTTGGAGAGTTTTTAATAGAGATGTTCCTGTGTATTTGTTAGAAATAGTTTGGTTCAAAACGTGAAACTTCATTTCTACTTTTTTGTTTTCAGATTGTACAGATGAATAATTATTGTGGCCTTGGAATTGATGCAGAGCTGAGTCTGGGTTTCCATCATGCTAGGGAAGAAGAGCCAGACAAATTCAATAGCAGGTATTTGGAATATTTTGAGAAAAGGAACAACCTCTCCCACTAACTGATAATTATTGAGAACAAACATTCATATATTTCATCTCACTAATTCAGGTGGTGTTTGACTTACAACTATAACTGAGTCTGGAATTATGGTCGTACGTTGTGCTGGTCATTAAGTGGGTCACCACGTGACCACCTGATTTTACAACCTTTTTTTGCAATGGTCATTAAGCAAACGTGACACTCATAAAGCAGATGCTGTGGTCATTAAGGGAATTCATTGTCCAAATGAAGCAAACACCAGTTTCTGGCAAAACACATCATACATAAATTGCAATCATGATTGTGGGACTCTGCAAATGGCTGTAAATGCAGTCTGGCTACCAAGTGCCCAGAATGTGATCATGTGAGGCCCATCCACTTGAACAACAAATCTGGGTAATAAATAGCTGGGGAGCTAAGGTGGACACCACTTGAGCTTCTTTCGGGGTGGGGGAGAAGGAGGCAATGAGATGTCACCACAGGAAAAGACCTTCTTATAAAAGCTCACAGAATTTTTTTTGGGTGATGGAGCTGAGTAGGTACATATGGGAGAAGACAACTTCTTCAGATGACCTAGTCCTAAACCATTTTGGTCTTTAAAGGTCTTAAGCAGCAGTTTGAATTGGACCTGGACCGAGAACCAGCCTAGATGACAAAGAACTGGAATCATTTGTTCATATTGGCCAATTCCAACACGCAGTGTAGCTGTTCTGTTTTGAGCTAACTTGTGTCCAGACCATTTTTAAAGGCAGCCCCATCTACAACGCAACAGAATATCTGTTACAAGACTATCTCTGCTTAGGGTAATATAGAAATATACATGGTACTTATCATACCATAACTTAAGGATATTATTAAAAATGGATATCATGGCAACTCTAACACTAGTCAGTGGTAAACACCATATTTCATACTTGTCCAATGAGAAGATCATGTTTCTGCTTATTTGGTGCCTCAGTTACCCAGCTACATGTCTATCTAGTCCAGTGGTGGAGAACCTATGGCACGGGTGCCAGAGGTGGCACTCAGAGCCCTCTCTGTGGGCACGCGTGCCGTTGCCCCAGTCCTAGGCCTTTAGCTGGGTTTTATAAAACCTTTTCGCTTTAGGCCTCTGCCGCCGTGTGCAAAAAAAAAAAAAAAGGTTCAATCGGTCAATTTCAACTTCTTGCGGGAAAAAAAATCTTGCAAAGTTGGAATTGATTGATTGAACTTTTTAGTCCCACCCAGTCTGCCATTACCACCGCAGCCACGCCCACCCAATTGGCCACACCCACCTGGCACTCAACGATGCATAAGTGGGTTTTGGGTTGCAGTTTGGGCTCTCGGTCTCTAAAAGGCTCGCCATTACTGATCTAGTCCATCTTGGCTGATCTTAGACAGCTAAGCAAGGCCAGACCTAGTTATTATTTGGATGGGAGAACATCTGGAAGTTCAGTTCTCTGAGTTAGACTGGAACATTTATATATATAAAAAAATCTCAGAAGATGGTAATACAGATTGCTTCCTTATTTTCCAAGAAATCTGTGAGGTTGTGCTGAAAGAGATTACCATTTTCCCCACTTTTCCCACTTACAGATCCACGAGTAGATATGTGTTTGATCCCATGGCTGCTAGTTTTGCTCAGATGCCCTTAATGAAGGCTGAAAATCTGAAAATCCAAACATATACTATCAGGTCGTCTCTATCTGTAGTCTCAGAAAAATGAGACAAGGCTTGCCTCTTCAGAATGTCAATGGCTCTTCCTCCAGTTCCCCCTCCCCCCCGCTCTCTTTGACAATTTTCTTTTGAATAGTATTTCATTCCAATTTAGATACATGGAGCTAACTGGCTTTCTGTTTGTAGGAATGACATAAAAATGATGCAAGATACTATCAGTTGTGTTTTTGGAAATAAACCCAGCTAACATATATAAACATATCCATTGCGTTTATTCACACGAAACCTGCCCTCCAGAACTTATGGCCATGTAAGAAAGAGGGAATCTTAACACAGTTTCACTGGGTAGCAACCATTACTGTCATGATAGCTCCACCTCTTCTTCCCTCAACCCGTACCTGCCAGAGGCATTAGATTACAATTCCCATCATCCGAAATAATCATGGTGGCTGGGTTGAAGAGCGGATAACACTCCAAAAACTATGACGTAGAAGACTTGAGTTATTCTTGATTCTTTTAGTTAAAACTCCAAAAACTTAAAAAAAACAACCACTTGAGCCTTGTTTTTTCAACAATCCCTGCGTATCTACATTCATCACAGTTCCTAAGTAAACATGTAAAGATTAAGCCATTCTTTTTTTCACATTGAATTCCATTTCCAATGTATTGCTCGCGTATCACTGTTTTGGTTCTTCAGTTTAGAAATGTATTATGTCTCTCTGAATTGTGATGCATCCATCTAGCAAGGCCTGATTTGATTCCACATTCCAGTGTGTGAAATTGGTCTTCATGTAAGAGCAAAGGTATTTGACTATTCTGCTGTGCAATCTAATTGAGACTGAGACTTTGTCATTTTTTTTTATAATGTGCAGCCTGATTCCATTTTAGGATTGATCTGCTAGAAATTTACTTATCTAAGTGAGGAAAGCAAGACTCCCATAAAATCAGAGAAGGAAACTGTTGTGTCAATCAGCAAAGCACAGATATACATATCACAGAGCTTATACCATTTTTATAAAAGAAACACAACTTTTATTTCTAGGCTACACAACAAAGGCGTCTATGTAAAAGTTGGACTGCAGAAAATGAGCCATACCAGGAGTCTTCATAAAGAAATCAAACTTCAGATGGACCAGCATGAAGTTGAGCTTCCAAGTATAGAGGGTCTTATTTTCATAAATATTCCCAGGTAAATAACTAGATATCTGGCTTTGGATTTGCTTTTTACCAAACAGTGCTTACGTTAGTGTTTAGAACTGCCTTGTAATAGCTAAAATAGCTTTATTAATAAACAGCTCTTAGGTGCTTTTGTATTAAGAGTTTGCTTCACACTCAGAGTTATGTTATTCTACTATGGATTTAATAAATAACTGTGAGTTGTTAGTGGGCAGGAATTTCAAGCTCATATGCTTCTTATTCTTCTGAGGGATGCTTTGGTCCTCTGAGTTTGGTTAGACTAGCACTGATGATGTTTCCTGGTTTGGGTAATGAAATATCTGCAAGAAAACCACCAAGCTCAGAGAGCACCAAGCACCCCTCATTTCAACCCTGAGCTACACATATTCTTCTTTGTTCTTCTTTTGTTGGGACTGCAAGGATGAGGCTAACATTGTGACTGTATATTATCTTGTTTCCCAGTTTAAATATAGTATACTGGAGCTATGGAATTTGGTCTGACGGTTAAGGGACCAGGCTACAAACCAGGAGACTGTGAATTATGGTCTTCCCTTAGGCACGAAAGTCGGCTGGGTGACTTTGAGCCAATCTCTTTCTCTCAGCCCATCTCCCCTCACAGGTTGGGAAAAATAGGTGGAGGAAATAGTATTAGGTATGGTTACTGCCTTGTGTATAAAAATAATAAAGGCAGGATGAAAAAAAAATCTTAACAAGCCAACTTTCTGGTTTATCTTATTTTAGACACGATGCTTAGCTGCTCATTTAAAATAGGAGAAAATGTTTTGACCCACATTTGGCATTGCCAAGGAATGGCAAGAAGATCTGCAGGCTTAAGTGATTGGTTAAGCCAGGGGTAGGCAACCTTGGCTCTTTTATGACTCGTAGACTTCAACTCCCAGAATTCCTGAGCCAGCATGGCTGGCTCAGGAATTCTGGGAGTTGAAGTCCACGAGTCATAAAAGAGCCAAGGTTGCCTACCCCTGGGCTAAGCAGTATTCCTGTAATGGCAAACTATGATATATTGCACTGTTTAACTTAGATGCATATAGTTTGGCCTGCCTATATTAGCCTACACCCATTTAAAGAGAGAGAGACAACTATTTCACAGAGATCCAAAACAGTTTTAAAATTTGTGAAGCGTGGTGACATGAAACAAATGGACTCTGTTCTAGCTGTTCTACTTATTGTTCCTCCTGCCTTTGTCCATTCAGTTTCACTTCTGACCACACGAAACTGCCTTGTACAGAATCACGCCATTGATCTCATGAGCTTAGTAGTGTTTGTGCCAGCTGCCCAGAGCTTTTCATTGTCTTGTATGGACATTTCCCCCCTTTGCCGGTTACCCAAAACCTTTTCGTCAGACGATATCAGCAGCAAGATTCTCAGATTTCTAAAGTACAAAAACACCGAGCCTCTTCTAAGAATTCTGTCAATTTTTTTTTGTAAAAAACTCAGTCAAATCTAGCTTCCTTATATAGGGAAGAAGGTGTTATAAGAATGATTCCTTCTGTTACCATTAATAGGTCCATTGTTTATAGATACAAAGAAATATTAGAGATATGAACATAAAGTTCACTAAACCAGCATTTGTTCAGCTTAGCTGGATTCATGCATCATACAAAGCCATAATATGATATTATGATGTAGTTACAAACTGTCATATTATAATGTAGTTACAAACTGTGAACCCAGTCAACACACGGATTATTTGTAAAGGCTTTAAAACGAGCCCTGAATATATTGAAGGACAGACAAATAAATAAGAAGAAACTAATTTTTAAAATAACAAGGCAACTGGTTATTTTAGTTAGTTTCTACTTTTTTTCTCATTTTTAAAGGTGTTTTTTTTAATATTTCTATATGAAAAATGTATTACCAATCTGTTAATCTGACACGATCCGAATAACAGATCTAGTTTATTAATTATACTCACCTCTGAATAAACTCTTGTTTGTTTCTTTTTAAATGCTGGCACATCTTCACGGGTTGACTTGGTACCTCAGGACAGAGGTTTTCTTTTGGGGGCCCAGTCTTTAAATATCTGTGGGTTAATGTAGGATTTATGACTGCTTTCATTTTACCTAAAGGTTTGTCTGCTGCTTTCAAGCGCCCTCTGCAGGTCATTAAGACAAGAGCAGATACCATATCTAAATGTTACCTGGTCTTCTGATTATTAAACACTTATTATTCTCTCTCAAGTTGCTACAATGCCCCTGTTTGATGCCAGTAATTACAGTATCAGCGAGGAAAACTACATGTGCTATATGTACTGTTTGTACATTTGTTTTTCTGTTTTAATTTCCTGCAAAATAAATGCTCCAAAGTAAAATGTCTTACAGAAATAAAAAGGTATTAGAGGTTTAAATACGATTTGTCAGGCAGTCAGTCAGATGTTTAGACTGGATTTGTCATTTTTATTTACTTATCAAGTCCTTCCCAAGGACCTGGGATAGGCAGATGTTGTTTGATGTTGTTAACGGTTACCCTCAGAGGATGTAAGTTGTTTCAAGTAAAGCTGCCTTTTGCAGTTGACTGATTGTGATTTTGTCAATGCCCGTGGTGTTCAAAGTCATGTTCCAGTTGTTTTTATTATTATTATTATTATTAGTTCATTATTTTTCATCATTCAGAGATATATATGCAAGATGGTCAGCTATATGAATTTTCCAAATAAGTAAATACAGTAAGGTTATATCATTGCTTTGTTTCTAGTTGGGGATCAGGGGCTGACCTTTGGGGGTCTGATAATGACAGCCGGTTTGAGAAACCAAAAATTGATGATGGCTTGTTAGAAGTAGTTGGTGTCACCGGAGTTGTTCACATGGTAAGTCAAATAGTTTTTTTTTTTCATTTGAATCTTTTTATGGGATGCAATGGATTTATTCTGTTTGACTTGACCTGAAACAATTGCACTTGTAAATTAATTGAGTTTTATATTGAAACACAAGGCTATGGGAATATAATATGGTGCGGACTGCGAGGGTGTTCAGTGTGATAGTTTAAATCAGGGGTAGTCAACCTTGGCTCTTTTATGACTTGTGGACTTCAATTCCCAGAATTCCTGAGCCAGCTTAGCTTAGCTGGCTCAGGAATTCTGGGAGTTGAAGTCCACGAGTCATAAAAGAGCCAAGATTGACTACTCCTGGTTTAAATGGAAGCATATTTGGAAATACAGTGGTTCTCAACCTTTTTAATGCTGCGACCCCAACCGGTCGTAAGTCGAGGACTAAACCGGTCGTAAGTCGAGGACTAAACCAGTTGTAAGTCGAGGACTACCCAACCGGTCGTAAGTCGAGGACTTTCCCTGCCCGGGAGCGCCGTGCATGCGTGGTTCCGCCCCCTGCGCCGGCCGAGGCGTAGCTGGCAAGCGGCAGAGACGGAGCAGGCCGACCACCAGCTGGCCCAGCTCAAGAGAGGTAAGGCACCCGCCGGAAAAGGGGAAAAAAAATGGCGGACAGCCTTGCTTGGCGACCCCCGTGAAATGGTCAATCGACCCCAAATGGGGTCACGACCCATAGGTTGAGAACCGCTGTTATAGAACGTAGAATCATAGGGCTGGAAGGGACCTTTCAGGCCTTTAAGCCCAACCCTTTGCTCAAGGAAGGAAAGATTATATCATCCCTATCAAATGGCTGTCCAGTCTATTTTGGAAACCTCCAGCAATGGAGCACCCACATCTTCAGGGGGCAGGCTGTTCCATTGATCAATTGCTCTCACTGTCAGAAAACTTCTCCTTACTTTCAGGCTATAATCGGGAGAAATTCCATGTGTGATACATATATAAAAAAATGTAAAAGAATCAGTATTTATGAGTTTTACCCAGTGACTGATCTCAAAGGAGACTTGATTTGTTTTTGAAAAGTAGTGTTCCGATTAGTTTTTTTCTCCCCCCCCAATAGGGTCAAGTTCAAGGTGGCCTTCGTTCTGGCATCCGGATAGCCCAAGGCTCTTACTTCCGTGTAACACTTCGGAAGCCAATTCCTGTCCAAGTAGATGGTGAGCCCTGGATTCAACCACCAGGTCAGATAATTATTTCTGCAGCAGGACCAAAGGTAACTTATATGTTTGGTAGACATTTTATCATTACTGTAGAAAAGCAGAAAAAAACTGTAACTGTGTTCAGGTCCTGTACATAACAGACTATAGCCAGATGGATCTGGTTGAAATAGAATGTATTTTAGTTGTTAAAAATCCCAACAGCTGTAGCCTTTTTCCTTCAGCCTTCTTCATCTGCTATGATTGGAGGCTTTCTGGGTTAGCTAAGCAGAATTACATCTCAGGAATGTATATTACGAAGAATAGAATAAACCTGCATGTCAGATGAATGTCTTATCATGTATTCAGGATTTGGGGGGGGGGGGTAACAGAATGGAAAATAGATTAATCAACCCAGAAAATCATGGTAAATTAAAGGCGACATAGTGGAGACCTACTATATATGATAATTGATTTATTGCTCAAGGTCATGTTCTCACTGTACCATTTCAGGTTGCAGGCTGGAATACACATAGCTAAATCTTCCTCATGTAATATATACGTACATGGAAAACTAAAATGTGAGGTTCCAGCCTAACCTTTTTCTTTCCAAATATAGAGTTTTCTTTGAGTACAACATTTTTCAACTTACTGTAAGCTCCTTCTAACTACTTGAAGTTAACTATAATAGTTCCAAAAGATATTTGTTATCATAGCCAGAGCTAGTTCTTTCTTCTAGGATTCAGTATACAGAATCAAATGAATATCTGAATGTACACCATGTTATTTCTGTATGCATAGCTTGTTGTCAAACGTTTTCCCTCTACCTACCACTCTCTGCATTGCATCAGATGTATTATATGTAGAACATGTCCAATTGGACAGGATGATTGCTTCCCGTGGCCATATCTAGCGTATCTACTACAATTCTTGGCTTATTGGGAATGCCTGGTAGGGGAGGCTGGTGTATGTTAAGCCATGCCTTAGGAACATAAGCTAGTTCTTCCCTCTTTTAAAGATTTTTTTAACTGTATAATTGTCTGATTTTTAATTGTCAGATATCTTTTGTATATGTGATCTTTGATTGCAGGTTCATATGTTAAAGAAATCAAAACAGAAACAGAAGAAAACTGGAAACATTAAGGATTCAAGAACTGAGAGCACATTGGCTGATGAAGCAGGGCGCTGATGGGAGATACTCATAGTCCAAATGCTGCACATCTACTGTAGATGACACTTGTCTGGCAAAATACTGTTGCATAGTTCAGGTCATTTATGAGCCTGTCTTCTTGTTCCATGTTCATTGTTCAGTAACCATGTAACTGACATGAAATACGATTATACAGATGAGTTGATCAGAGGAATTTGTATTAGGGAGCCTATTGAAGGATTTAAGCTAGTCCAGAGAAAAATAAATAACTTGGGTGAGAATAGAAAAGAACCAATAATATAATTTGTGAACTAGTTCTTTTTTTCCTGATCTACACAACAAGGGATCCCATTGCCTTCTCCTCTTCACCTGTGCAACCCACAGGTTACTCATACTGTTTTTAATCAATAATTGTTAAACACACAACAGAGCTCTCATTGAAGAATTGGCAAAGAAAAAGTTTAATAGAATGCAGAAGAGGGAAAACTCTCCCCATAATGGCTAGCTGTCCTCTGCTTTGAGTTTTCATCTGTGGACCGCAAACACTTTCATTACACTACCACAAGAAATTTTTTTTAGAGAAAAGAAAGCTCCTATAATTTTGTCTCTTTTTTTATAGTTTACAGATTTTTTTTTTATGAAACCTACAAGCTTTGGTTTTCTAATGTACCCCATGTGTTTCTTTTCTCTAATTCTGATCTGTAAGTCAATGTTCCTGGTTTCATTCTCTAACCTTCTCTTTCTGTCAGCATTCAGACTGTTGTTGAAATATCAAACTCAGAATGGGTACAAAGCACAATGTAGAAAATTAATCTATTTCAACCTTTATTTGATAAATATTAAATGATAATGCAGAAAATGAAATATACATTGGTTTATTTTCAGTTAAAATATTTTTTAACTGTTTAGAAACAAATAATGGATTTTGTTCTCTGAATGTGATAATTGTACTGATGGTGCCAAATATCCTACATAGAGAGTTCCTTGTGATTAAGAAACTGATCATCTGCCAGTACACAGACATTTTTTACTTGTTTTCATGATTATCATTTTGTGGTGTCTTTTTCCTCTATAACAATCATTCATAGTTTTGGCCATCAACTACATAGAGGTAGCCAGTGGTGGGATTCAGCCGATCCGCACTGATTCGGCAGAACCAGTAGCTAAATTTTGCTAAGTTCGGAGAACTGGCTTAATGTACAGTGCTTTCGGAAGTCCAGTCTAGGCCTCGGAGGTCTGGAGGAGGCCTTCCAGGCCTGAACAGACCTCCGGAAGTGCATGGATGCCACTTCTGGAAGTCCGTTCTAGGCCTGCATCCAATAAGAGAACCGCTTGTTCAGGTATTTGAATTCCACCACTGGAGGTAGCCCTTGACTTATGACCCCGATTGAGCCCAAAATGCCTGTTACTAAGTGAGATAGATGTTAAGTGAGTTTTGCCCCATTTTACGATTTTTCTCCCACAGTTAAGTGAATCACTGCAGTTGTTAAATTAGCAGTTGTTAAATGAATCTGGCTTCCCCGTTGACTTTGCGTGTCGGAAGGTCACAAAAAGTGATCACATGACCCTGGGACACTGCAACCGTCATAAATATGAGTCAGTTGCCAGGCGTCTGAATTTTGATCATGTGACCATGGAGATGCTGCAGTGGTCGTAAGTGAAAAATAGTCATAAGTCACTTTTTTCAGTACCGTTGTAACTTACAACAGTTGTAAGTCAAGAGCTATCTGTATACCTACTCCCCCCAAATGAGTAGACTGTGTTCAGAGGCTAACAGAAGATAATTTGGAGCTTTGGTTCCTCTGCCCCATTTTGGCCTGGATATGTCTGAAATAAGTTCCATTTTTAATGAACTGCAACTTTCCATTCCTTCAAAATTTAGATAAGCTGTGGCTGACCGCAAGGAAGGTTTGACTTCAGTTCTAAATTACAGTTACTTCTAAGTTTCAATTAATCAAAACAAAACAAAACAAAAGAGTGGTATGAAGACCTCTTTGTGACCACACCAAAGGGGAAAATGTTGTGTGTAAGTCCAAGATCCAGATGATTAAATGATGGATACTGTTTCATATGGAGTAGCAAAAGGAAAATAAAAGAGGGAGGGGAATCCTAGTTCTAGATATCCAACCTGTTGAAATTGTACCACACTATAGTAATTAACCCTGAATGTGAACACAGTAGCAATAGCCATGAACCTCATCAGAATCATTATATGTGACCAGGTCATAGGCAGAGATTATCTTTCTGTATCTGGAAATATCTTGGTAGGGGTCTTTATATCCATGTGATTGTAGAAGTTGTGCTTGTTATAGTATCCTTTCCACATGTGTAAGAATGGATAAAGCCTTGCTAAGTGGTGATAAGTCTCTTTGAAAATGGAAGACTTACGCATAGCAATAGAAAAAAATCAGAAAATGTTCAGTAAACGTGAAGCCCAGAGAGTCTGCAGGATTTGCTTTCGTTTAGAAAAGATGCATTTTCAAAAGCATTATCATTTTGCTGCTGCAAATATTAATGTTGTATTTTCCTAGGAGAAAATAGGGGTGTCTGGAAGTGGATTCAGATAGTGTGTAGTTGTAATGTAGATAATACTGGTCCATCCTTATCTTTGTCAGCTGTGGATCTGTTTCAGCGCTCTGTGTGTCTTGCATCTCTCGTATATCTGTATTTGCAAATAATTGCAAAGAAAAATTGTGTGGTGCTCACTAGTGCTCTTTAACTAGACATTTTCATGCACCAGTCTTCCAAACGGTGAGAGCGTGTTGCAGTTTGCAGTATTTTCATCTCCATGTTGTACCATCCAGTGTTACATTGGAGAATGGTGAATATTTTGTAAAAGGTGTTCTTATGATACTATCAGTTGCTTTCCCTCCCCCCTAATATGTGACTTTCTGGTTTCCTGAACATAAAATGTTGCGCAGAAATGAGAATATTTGTTTAAAATGTTTGTGAAGTAATTCTTTGCAACTAAATGTGCTTTATTTTGGGAGTTAAGAGTTTTTTCATAACATTAAAATCATATGTGAGCTTTTCTTTTATCAAATCTTAGAACTTGCCCATAATCCAAACAATGGTAAAAGTTATTTGGGATGCGTGTGTGTGTGCGTGTGTGTTAAGAGCAAGGAGAGACACTGAGGCCATGTTCTGATGATATGCTCATCATGGTTTGTCCAGAACATGCTTTGCTGTGTGTGATTCTTATCCATGGTCATCCCCACTTCATCCTTGGTTGCTTTTGGCCTACTAAGGAATGTTTTAAGAGTTCTAATGTCATCTGCCAGTAGTAACCTCTCTCTGCTATTAAGCAACAAAACAAACTGAAAACAATTCTTCAGTTATTTTTCATACAGATAAATAAAAGATGCTGGAAGATGATGCTAGGATCCTTAAACCTTAAATCAGCCAAGTCTGTGAGGTGGAAACCAACATGCCGAATTGGACTTTACCGAACATGATCTGACAAACTCAGAATGAAAATCAAATTTAGCTATTTAAGCACAAGATAATCTTAGATCTTTTTTCTTCATCATCTTCACCTCTTTTTGTGTTTGTGTCTGTGTGTGTGTGTGTGCCTTCAAGTCAGCTTTGATTCCAGGCAGCTGATATCCCTGCAATTTTCTTGGCAGCATTTAACAACAAAAACAAAATCCTTCTCACCCTATGGGTAGTATGTGTCTTCCTCAATCTCGGTCTTCTGGCGTTTGAGGCCTGGCGTTTGAAAGATCTGTGCAATATCTTAGCTGTTTCTAGCACTGCATTCTTCTGGACATCTCCCAGGACATTGTTCCTGGGATCTGTTGGACCACTTTGGCCTTTACTTTCCACATCTGCTCTAGTTCTTCCTTCAGGTGTGGTACTTCTCCAGTTTCTCATACTCCTTCTTCCTGACATTGCTGTCATTGGCAACTACTACATCTATCACCACTGTTGTCTTTTGGTCCTTGTCTATGATGGCTAGTTGATTGACCAATTCCTGCTTGTCTGGATGTGGAAGTCCTACAGGATCTTAACCCTGTTACTCTATTATCCATGACTTTTTGTGAAATTTCCCATCTGGTCTAGCCCATGCACTTTGCAGATATCCCTACACACAATGCCAGCTACTTGGTTGTGTGATTCAAATATATACTCTTCCAGTGTGCTTCTTACACGTCACCACTGTGTGTTGGACTATCTCTGAAGTCTCTCTGCATAGTCTCTGCACATGGGGGGGGGTCTCTAGTGTGGTAGATACCTGTTTCTATGATTTTGTACCCTTAGAAGAGAACAGTCTTTCCCACTAATCAGTAAAATGACACAATTGGATTCAGTTCAAAGAATATTGATGTAACTAGTCTAGTGCATCCCAAGTCATGTGGCTGTGTTTCTTTAATAGAAAACCTGCATAGCCAACTATTTGAAAAGTCTACCTTAACTGAAAATAATTACAATTAGATGTGTTCATTGCACTAAGCCAAAACGGTTGCTTGCTTTATTTTAATTTAATGTGCCATGTGAATCTGGCCATTGTTGGTTGCAAATCATGGTTTGTGATTTAGCACGTTTGTGGAATAAACCATGGTTAAATAAATCGCAGCTTAGCACAATCTGTGAATCAGTCTAATTAGATCCCAAGGTTGTGCAGCATTTGATTCCAAAAAGAGTATGTTTGTGTGTGGGTGTGGGTGTGAAATTGTAACACCTTCTGCAATTCCTTAATATTTCTGCATTCTTTTCCCCAGAATCTCATAGCTGCTTTCAACATATTTCATCTAAGCATAAGCCATTTCATGCTATATTAGTTTTCATGGTAATTTAAAGATGTTCTCCACACTTTAGCTGATCTAAAATAGGACTTAGCTTTATTTCTTTTGTTTGCATGAAACGTGCACGTACTTTTGCTCGCACTACTTTTTCTGAGTAAATTTACAAAAATAATAACAAAGAGCACCTTTTCCTTTGACCTTGACAATGTTTTCTCAGATACACTGTCCTTTAAATATTATTCATGCAACAACCTATTTTTAGCTTTTGAGTTTCTACGCATGAGACATCTGCACTATTTTAGCATTTTCAGCAAAGAAACGCACTCAGATTATATGCAAAAGTATTATTTGGACATATATTGCTTAATATTTTTATACATTTTCACTACATTGCTGATCGTAGCAGGAATGCTAAAAATTGTCTTATGTACCTTTTACGCTTGTGCTAAACTGCCCTTTTTTACAACTCTGGAGTTCTCCTAGATTGCATGCCAAGTTTCAGAAGCACATTTTTTCA